ATAGTATGCCCCACTCCATCCGCCCGCCGCCCCTCGCACCCATGTCACGCGAGCTGCATTAGCGTACACGGTATCTCCTAGTCGGGCACTGCCGTCTAGAGCACTCTTACTTCGGTTTTTTGCTTGTGGTATTTTTGCCAACTATATCTCTGGATGCTGCCTCGAATCCGGAGTCTTGGCTTGAATGGGATTGGAATTGCGGCTGCCGTCTAAATAGCTTCTTCTTGTTGAATTTACTTTTATTATTTTTCACTGCATTTTGAATTTGATTTATTTTATTGTGCGCTGGCCGGCGAACCTTTTATATAAGAAGTATCATCGGGCACCGGGCGGCACTAAGTAATTTGCCACGCTATTAAAAATATATGAATACACATTTGTAAAACCGTATAATTGCGCGGCTCAACACTTTTACCTTACCACGCCTCTCACCCTCCTCCCACAAGAAAGATAAAAACTCAAATATATGCATAATAGTAATGAAAATAAAAGTTGAATAAAGGATTGCAGCGCTTTGGCCAATTGATAATGCGGCGTTTTTTAAACAAAACTCTTGTCGCACTTGGTTAAGTTTTGGTTATTTAAGCAAATTACAAATTTAAAGACCAAAAATTACTTTGAATAGACGCAAAAAGCATAAGGCGATGAAATCAAAAGGAAAGAAAAAGACAATGAAAAGAAAAACACATAAAAAACGAATTGTGGAACCTGCACAACATAAAAATCAATTTATAGGTCAAGTTGAGCGCAGCGCATACACAGATCAGACATGCATATGTGTGTGCGTGTGTGTGTGTGTGTGTTCGTGTGTGTGTGCTGGCTTTTGAAGCCAAAATTCAGGTTCAGCCTGAGCCTTTTACTCCAGCGGCATCTTGTCTAATAAGATAAATTATGCAACAGCGCGTGGACCAACACACACACACACACACACACACACACACACACACACACACACACACACACACACACACACAGACACACACACACACACACACACACACACACACACACACACACACACACACACACACACACACACGCACATAGACACACCTGCTTGGTTGGCTTTAGCAAAACGCTTTAACCGCATGCAATTAGCTTCCCATTTATTTGAGTACATTTTGAGTAATAAAACAAAAAACAAAGCATTAACATAAATGAGTATTTTTCTGCCGATGTTGCATTTGCTGCGATTGCAGCCGTATTGTGGGTCAAGTTGAAAATGCAACGCGATCCACACAACATTCACATTCACATTCACATTCGCTAGCGTTTTGCGCGCGTCTTTGGCGACTCTGCATAGCAGACATTGTTACATCACATCAGTAGAAAAAACCGCTTTGCTGCACTTGCCGCAATAAATGCACCAAAATAAAAAATGAAAAACTAAGTAAATAAATACATATATATATATATATATATATATATATATATATATATATAAACAGATATGTAGCGTGCATATCTGTCGTATCTAGTTTGTCTGCTCGCTAAAGAAGACTTTGAGCGCGCGCGACTTTTCGAGCAACAAAATCGCGTTAATTTGGCAATCAGGCAGCCGGACGGACTTGGACGCCGCGTTGTTTTGGCCTAAAATGCCGCGTAATTGGTGCAAGACGCCCTAGTTGTTGTTCTTGTTGATGATGTTGTTGCTTGTTGCAATGCATTTTGTTGCTTGTTTTTTTTTTTTTCGACCCACCGCGCACAACGCGCCCGCGTTTTTGGCGCGTTTCAAGTTGCATGTTGCTCAAAATTTGCCGCTTGCCGGTGGCGCTGCTTGAGTTCGTAAATAAAATGTAGTTGGTAGTCAAGTGCACAGCTGCACATGCTTGAGAAATGCGTTAGCCAGTTTATATGACACGAAAATAACCGCCTTTTCGGGGTCGCTCCCGCATTCCAGATCCGCTTAACAGCAACCCCAACATATTCATGAGTTGTATTTCGCAAATGGTAAATTTGTGCATATTTAAAAGCTCGCTTGACACCTTTCGATTTATATTCTGGCCAATTTGCATTTGGTCTTTAATGATTTTTTAAGCAATGTTTCATCAACTGGTTTTTAAACAATAATACAATTGGGAATACAAGTGTAATGACATTCTGTTCGTTTTTTTTTTTTTTTTTAATTTAATATTTATTAAAGGCTTCTGCTACATCGAGAATATTCCTTAAAGAATTGTTTATATCTCCGTTCAATATAATTATTATTCAAAATCGGAAAGTTTTTAACACACATTTATTTATTTATTTATTATACGGTTATCGACTGTTGAGAGCTTAATCGAGAATTTTCTTTCAAGAATTGTTTATGTCCCCATTTAATAGAAGATAGGAAAGTTTTTTAATAATAATATATTCAGTTTTAAAAGCTCAAATATTTAATATTAATAATATAATGTAATCCAGCTCACAAGCTACGCAGATTATTGTCTTGTAGCCCCTTTAATCGATTTCTCTATAAGCATTAACTAACGTGTCGAATCTTACATATATCATTAATCTTAAGTTAGCAATAATTGAATTATCACACACAAACTTACTTCAATGACAGCACGATAAGAAGCCGATGTCCCAGCCATATTGCGCACGTTTTTTCCTCTCTCTCTCTCTCTCTCTCTCTCTCTCTTGTTTTATTTATTTGTTTTTTGTTTGAGAATAACAAAAACAAAAACGAAACTTTTTATCAGTTTTTAGCACTTGGGCGCGAGTCTACACCAATACCAGCACAAGTTGGAAATAGAGTTAACTGTTTGGCCACACACACATAGAGAGAATCAATAATAAATGTGCGTATGTATGCGTGAAGAGACAAAAAAAATATGCTGAAGGCACGCACAATTTCAATGTTGGACAATAAACCTTTGGACAAATTGCAAATATTATTGCAACACGCGGCGAATGCAGCTCCTCGACATATGTGTGCGTATGTGTGTGTGTGTTAGTGTGTGCATACAGATGCAGCTTGGACACTTGACAATATCGCGCATACGTCGCGTTGTACGAACGGAGCGAACAGAAGTAAGCCGATCGAGTCACATGCGACACGGCCAACACCAATACTGACAACAACAACAACTTATCGCACTCTCCCACTCTCTCTCGCTCTCGCTCTCAATAGCGCAACAGCTGAGCGCTAGACGCGGCAGTGGCCGCGAAGCTGACGTCGCTGTCGACGTCAACGCAAACGCCGCCAAACTGTTTCTCTTATGTGGCAGCGGGGCGAACTGTTACAGCAATTGCAAGCAAATCGCTTGATTAAAATCTATATATTTTTTTTCTATATTATAATTACTGGCACTTTGGGGCGACTGGCCTAGTAAATGGCCCATACCCAATAGCCAGCATGCCCATACGCCCCGTCAGCGTGTTTATAATCTTTTAGTTTTCAGTGTCAAAAGCGCAATGCAAAATTACCAAAAAAAAAAATCTCAAAAAAAAAAAAATACCACAAAAGAAAGAAATAAAATAGAGCTGTCTGTAAAATTTATTGTGCAATCGTTCAAAGAAAAATACCAACGAAAAAAAAAAGCACACACACACACCAAAACGAGCCAAAGATTTGAATACATTTTTGTAAAGTGGTGCAATGGGCGCGCTTGGATCATTAGCTGCGATTGGTTAACCAAAGGCACATTTTTGTTGTCTTTCATTTTTTTTTTTGTATTTCTGTTTTGTCGAATTTGCAGTGAAGCAGCTGAATGAAAATGAAAATCACGGGATTTCTACACGGCAGCCGCAGCATCAGCCGAGCGCAATGATGAGTAAAAAGGGAAAAAGAAAAAAAAAACCAACATGGCGAATAAGCAAAGCAAAACGCACGACAACAACAATGCAGCAGCAAGCGACAACAACAACAACAACAACAGCAATAGCTGAGGCAATCACTTGTTTCTGTTGTGGGGCTGCTGCAATCGGCCGTCCCGACTCGAACTCAAACTCGAATCCGAATGCTGACCATGAAATCATATCCATTTCACCTGCCATCAGCCATCGCCAATCACCTGCAAATGGTCGCAATATAAGGCCAAAAAGTTTTAAGTGCCGGGGCCACAAATGGCACAGCGTGTAGCAACTTATCCAGTTATCCAGTTAAGATTCAAGGTCAGCACTGTTGCATTGCATTTCCGTGTGAAATGTTGTCAGTCCGGCAGCTACCCCAAGCCAGTGTGGCCAGACCAGGCGAGCAGCAGCCTTCAGTATGCCAACAACAGTCGCAGCCAAATAAACAATAATGCAGAACATGCAGTTTGGCCATTTACTGCAAGAATTCAGTACGTGCATATGTGTGTGTGTGTGTGCGTGTGCGTGTGTGCGTGTGTGTGAGCAGAAAAGTTCAAGTGCGAAAGGCTTAAGCAAAACAGAACATGCAAATACCTTAAAACCAGACACCATAATAAAGAAAAACAAAATACGACAGCGAGAATAATTCAAAGTCGCGTAGAGAACAAAATATGAAAATATAAAAGAAAGAAAAATGAAAACAAAAGAAAAAAAAAAACGCTTCGAAAGTGCACAGTACTGCAAATTTGTAAGAAAAGGCATTGAAAACTTTTGAACATTTGTACTTGATAAATATGAACTGTGAATTTTCTACACTTGTTTGCATTTCTGCTGAAACGAAACGTAGGTTAGAGAAACAAAGAACTTGACATTGGGTGGAAAAACCCCGAAGCGCTCGTTTTAAAAATTGAAGATACAAGATTTTACACAACGACTAATAACCTTTAACTATAAACGATTAATGACCACGTACAAGTGTTTATTTATCGTGTTGCATTTTATAAATAGATATACAAATTTAGATTGTGTGATTTCCCATAAGATTACTGAACTAAAGTTCAAAGTTCTACAATTTAAATATTTATCAATATTTATTAGCTGCTCAAAGTTCCAGCCATGACTTGACAAAAAAAAAAAAAGTTAACGATCCTAATTTAATTGTATACTATTTTTACTGGGGGAAACATGTAAAATTGAGCAGTTTTTTTTTTAGCACTCACCATTTTTGTACAATTATTTGGGTCCGCTTGAAGTCAGTCGAATGAATTTTCCTGCACGTGTAATATTATTATTTCACTGGCAATTATTCAAGCTTTGAGCGACACGCAAAATGCTTCACTTCTATTGAACTTTCAATGCATTTATTGAAACACTATTATTATCCTTGGGCTTGCATTGGAATTTAATACTTGTATGGGAAACAGTTATTAAATTTCTTGATTAAACACGTGCACAACACAATTCATATATTCAATTAAATGTATTCTCAATTGAATGTTGAATATTAGTATGCTTTAACTAAATCACAGTCACATCTAACTAACGTTTTGCCAACTTCGCTGCGGATGGCCAACTGTCAAATCAGCTGCTAACTGGTGGCGGACTCTTTTTTTTGGTCTCTAGTGTCTCTAGACTTAACTGGACTCGACCGGGGCCTGGCTGAGCGCACGTTTTACCATTCAAATCAAAAACACTGAAATAAGTTTGATTTCTCGTTGTCGCTTTACTTTTATACGAAGCGGCAACGCGGCTGCGACGCCAGCGTCGACGTTGGCGTTTTTGGTGAGCGAAGCGAAGCTTTTGATAAATTCTGAGCGCAGCTTCAGTTCACAACACAACAGCCCAACAGGTTGTCAGCAGCTGTCAGCGTTTCATATATATGCTATGTGTATTTCGGAGCGTATGCTGCGACGCGCTCTCACTTTGTGCTACTGCGTACGAGTTTTCGGACAAGGATGCTGCTGCCGAGCAATCGCACTCGACTTTGCTCTCGAGCTTTATTTGACTTGTTCGGCTTCGCTCTCTAGCTCGTTCGCTCTCTCTCTCTCTCTCTCTCTCTCTCTCTCTTTGTTTGTAGCTATTTGGTTTTTCGCCTTTGCACCCACACAAAAGGGCAGTGGTAATTATTGAGCTGTTATCAAGTATAATTTTATTTTTTTTTTTTTTTGTGAGTTTCGATGAGCGCAGAGTGCAAAGTGCTGTGAAAGCTCATGAAAAGGCATAAATAAACCCTTGACGACAAAGCGAGCTCTTAAGAAACTTTTGAAAGAAACTGCATATGAATGCAAATATATATTAAGTATTTAACAATCAAATCAATATATGAATAGCATATTTGCGAAAAAAACGTATAATAATAATAATTAACGTATGCAAGATATACGTATGCATTAAATATTGATGAAAATAAATAATGAGACGAAACCAGTTTTGGAGTTTTGCGCTCATTTCAAATTCCTGATAAAGACCCAGACGAAGACTTCGACATGTGTAGCTGGCCGCATTTTTCTATAGTTTATTTTAGTATGTATGTATTTTTGTATATCTCGTTTGGCGAAAACGATGACCGAAACCGCGGAAACGCTCATCGATAAACTGAAAATAAAAATATTAGGAAAAAAAAAAAAAAACCAATGGCTCTCGTGCTGTGACAGAATCAGAACAGCCAGCCCACCTTCGATGGGCAGCGGCGACTTCCTCGATCATAAACGAAGCCAAATCCATTGTGACGCTTCATTTTTAAATGTCTGCGGGTTAATTTCAGTTTTATGCCAACTTTGACATTGCTATTGTCACATTGCTAATTAAAATTTAATGAATGCATTTTACCCATTTGATTAGTTAACACCACTTGCATCTCATTTCGCATTTCGAATTGTTGTCTTTATTGCACGGTTCAATCGAACACGTGTAGATATTAGAGTATATTTCGAATTTGCTCGCAAAGTATGTCATACCTATTAATTTTCTAACAGCTCACATTGTTGTCAAATCATTTGTTAAGATTGCATAACCTCAAGATCTATTGCGCTTTAAATTATGCAATATGCAAAGTACGGTTCTTGAGTGCCCCAACGTTTGTTAAAACATTTGGACGCTGAGCCCAACCGACGAAATTACTAATAATAGTATAAAGCTTAACATTTCAAACATTGGCACAGCACATTTTACACATTTCAGCCAATCTTATAAGAGCTCTAATTGTACTACTTTGACTTGCACTTTTCCTTCAAGAACTCGATTCTCATCGGGTTTATAGCTCTATATTTACTTGTTGCATACCATTTTTCTGATTGAAAAGCTTCTGCTCCCCTGCTACCAACTCTGTTCGGTGATCAGAGATCCGTATGTGTGTGTGTGTGCGTGTGTGTCTTTTTTGTAGCTTCCGGTGCAGACAAGCCAACAACAATCATTTGAGGTACAATGACATTTTGTGTAGCCAAAAAAAAAACAAGTAAGAGGCTCTAGTCGGGAGCTCCCGACTAGGGGATACCCTGAACCCTCTTCTTCCAATATCAAATGCATATATATTCTATTTTAGAAGCTATATGACAAGTTTGGTGACTCTAGCTCTTATTATTTACCAAAATTGCCTAAAAAACAGGATATCGATATCGATTTTTATCGATTGCTTGGAAATGGAGCAAGTTATCGATTATCAGAATCAAACTCGATCTGCGCGGGAACTAGGAGCATCTACATCTAAAATTTCAGTCTCTAGCTCTTATAGGTTCTGAGATCCTTGCGTTCATACATACGGACGGACGGACGGACGGACGTACAGACAGACGGACATGGCTAGATCGACTCGGCTATTGATGCTGATCAAGAATATATATACTTTATGGGATCGGAGAAGCTTACTTCTGTACCTGTTACATACATTTGGATTTTGCACAAATACAATATACCCTTATACCCATTTTTAATGGGTTCAGGGTATAAAAAGATCAACTGTTGTATTGACCAGTGTATGATTGTGTTTCTTGAAATAATGCTTTTTAAAGTTCATATACTGCGTATGCCTAATTATGCAACCTTCAGGCGCTTAAGCAATGGCTGTATATATATATATATATGCGTTGGTCAAGTGAGAATCGCATTTTTTTAAAATATATTTAGTTGTGGTTTTTGTTTTTTTGTTTATATCTTGGCAGATGATGCTTCGGATGCTAAGGCCGTTGTCCATGTTTGGCCAGCTTTTTGTGGGTGTTGCTTAGGTTGAAAATATATATTTTGGCACTTTTTGTTTGTTTATTGTAAACACGTTTCGAGCATTGACCTTATTTAAGCATATACCAGTTATTAAGTTTAAAATTAATAATAAGACATGCTAGCACTGTGGAGTTCAAGGCCTAGGTGCTTTTGCGCGTTTTGTAAAATGCCCAAATATGCCGCAACATGTACAAAGGTATTTTTTAACATTATTTATATATATATACATATATATATAGCTGTATATATTCTAGGGCAAGCTAACATTTACTACAGCCACGAAAAATCAAAGTTGCAGTAACTGGCAACTGGTGCCACGCCCCCCCCCCTGGCCTAACATTGTGCAACTTTCAATGATTGATGCGTTTATTTGGCGCTGCCAGAGCCTCAATAGCTCTTCAAGCTTCAAATTCAAAGACAAAGCCAGCTGAAGCCAGCTGAAGCCAGCTGAAGCCACATTGCGGCAACACATGCATCGTGCTGTTGTTGCTTTTGTTGTTGCTGTTGCACTTGCTGTTATGATTATTAAATAACGGTTAAGTCAAGCGCCATTTTCTAATATTGCAAATCATTCTCACATTTACGTTTGCATTCGCGTTGGGCAATGCTTTCCGAATGCCCGTTGAAACGCCAAGAATAATGCACACAAACATTTAGTACTATGCGAGAAACCAGTTTAATGTTTCGCCAAAATATTAAAAGACAATAAAATTGTAAATTAACACGCTTAGTGGACTTTCCATACAACAAAACTACGAAAAACGTGCTGCGGGTCGATTTAAAAAAAAAATAATAAAAAAAAACATTTGTCAACAGCCCAAACAAGTTCAAAGCAAATCGATCAGCTGCAGCATCGGCAGCAGCTCGAAGTGTGAATGTGAATGTGAATGTGAATGTGAGTATAAAGATGGCGCATGATAATGATCATCAGCATGAATGAAGTTGATGACTACTGCGATGGGTTTAGTACATACATAAACCCAAACAGGGGTATTAGAAATTGCGCAAGCTATTTTAACATCGGCAATGTTGGAAATGATATCAAGGTCAGCTGGTTGACACAAAAACCTAATGAATCGGCTAACTAATATTAATTGGTCATTGTATTGATCTCGGGTTGGATAATTTCATCAATTAGCTATTAGATACGCATAAATTCCTCTCTACAATATTTGCATGAGAATTTAAGTAAATTTAAGTTCCGTTTTTTTGTATTTTATTTATCTTTTTTTTACATGCAAATGATGCGAAACTCATTAAAAGAGCAACGGTATTAAAATGCATTTTATGCATGTGCAAAACGATTTAAATGATATATAATCAGCAGAAGCAGATTGACAAATTTCAGTGGAAACTTTTGAGGATTTTTTATTAATCCGCTCAGCAGTAATATCGATTATACGTTTATTGCTTGATAAGATAAATCGATATTATAATTTAATTGCAGATTTTACAAAAACAACATTTTAGTTATACAAAAAAATAGAAACCTTATCTTTATTAAGTTATATAAATAGCAGTTTTATTTAATGCCACTGCTGTTGCAGTGCTAACGCGTTAAACCAGCCGTTTTAACGTTTACTGCAGTAATTTATCCTTAGGCATATTTATTTAAACCCCGTTTTTGTTTTCAAACGTGTCTCATTATCGAAAAACGTTATTTTTCTCACAACTCCTATCGATATATAAAGTTATCGGCCTGTAACATATCGTAGCATGTTATCGCAAAAGGTTGTAGTCACGATAGTATCGATACAATATCAACAAATGAATGTAATCGGCTGAAGAAATAGACCCAAACAAGTTAAAATGTTGCAACAAAATATATTAGACCAGCTTAAACAATTTATAGACACAGTTAGCAATGGACACAGTAATCCACAGCTCCTAACGAAACCGTCACTCATAAAAGTTGCGTAAGTTTGTGCCACACTTGCAACTATTCTGCAGATAATGTTTACTCAATGCATTTTACGCACACAGGTTGGGATTTCTGGATGAGCTGCCGGCCACCCGCGACATCGTTTTTGATTACTTTGGCATTCTAGCCGAGATCGGAGTGCAGCTCTATATATCTCCCGAAATGATGGATCAAAAAACGGGTCTGCCAATATCACAAATGAAACAGGAAGGCAATCCGCATCAACAGATGCGCGCGGAGGAGTACGAAAGCTTTAACATGGTCAAAACATCGCTACAAAATTTAATATGGAAAGGACCACCGGCCTGGTCACCGCTCATTGCCAACTGGAGCTTAGAGCTAGTGGCCAAGCTATCGGACAAGTACACACAGCGAAGGATGACCATTCCTGCCTCATGCAACTACTGGCTGGAATGCAGTGCCATGCATGGTCTGCTCACGCTGATCAACAGTTGCTTTCGCAAGCTGAGCAACACGGAGGCGGAGACATGCGTGGAGACCATGCTGAGTGCGTTTCATCGCTATCCGATGACATTCGACTGGATTGTGGCGCGGCTGGGCGGCTGTTTTCCCTACAAGATCATTATGCAAATACTGCAGTGCGGCATCAAGCGTTTTGTAGACGATTATCGCTGTCATTTGGACTCTGAAGCTGGCATCCTGGACTACATGACTTCCTGTCATGAACAACAATTGCGCGCGGCATTTTGTGAGATGCTCAAAGATGGCCTGGCACCCAAAAAACCACTTGACGTGGCTATAGTGCCGTTTCTTTTAATAACCACGAACTACTCCGATGCCATTCTACAGAGTTTGGTCAATGTTTTTATAGATATATGTGAGTGTCATATACTAACTAAGCTGTTCCCTTACCTTACTGTTATTCTCCCTTCAGACACCGATGATATGTGCGATGCAATCGTGCAGAAGGCTCCGCTTTGGCTAAGCAACAAAATGTTTGCCGACATGCAGCCGTCCCTGAATAATGCCGTGCTACGTGTTAATCAACATGGTGCCAAGCTACTGTTAATGGTGGCCAAATTGGCTGAAAAGTATGTGTGGTGTCAGGAATTTTTGGATACGTCCATGCAGGAATTAGAGCAATGGGTACTGAACATGCGCACTTTTCCATTACTTGGAGATTTAGCCTCCGAGAAAACTAAATACATGCTCTGGAAAAGCTGCCTCAGCACAAATCTATTGGAGCAACAGACAGCAGTGCGTTTGCTGCTCGTGGTCTGTAAGTACTAAGCCGTTGAAATATTCTGGTAAACTGAACTCATTTCTCTGTTGCCTTACAGCCTCACAGCATCCACATATCTATTATCAAACAATTTCGCAATTGCTGCGCAAATCCTATGCTCAAAATCCGAATACCATTGGCGCTCTGATGCGCTTGCTGGGTGGCCAGAGCGGTGTGCTCAACTTTCCCAACATAACGCAGGGGTTTAAAATGGTGCTGGAGGATATAACGCTGCAGGAGCAGGTTAACAATCGTTTGCCCGTGGAACCCGGCACTCCAACGGAGGCATATAATACTTTTTACAACCTTAACCTGCTGACCAAGTAAGAAAGTCAATACAGAGAATGTTTGTACATATTCTAATATGTTATTTCTTTGCCCTCAGAATGCACAAAAAGAATCAATTTCCGCACACTAAGCCACAGCTGTTGACGCAATCATTGAACGAATGCCTGCCTAAGATTATACAAATCCTCGACTGCACAATTCAAAAGCTCTTGCTACGAATGGATAAAGCTGCTGCTGAGCTCAGCGCTGAGAAGTTTAAAAAACAGCAGGCCAACAACAACAATCAAGAAGCAATGCAAGATTTGTATAACGGCAATGGTCCCATTAAGCGCCCCAAACTAGAAGAAGGTGAAGTGGCCATGACGGAGGAAACACCTGATGCAGCACGCATGCGTTTAGCGCATCTAATTGTGGAGCTGCTGAACAACATCGAGGCTGGCACACGCTGCACTGTGCTGCGAACACCGCTGGTGCTTAAACTAGCCGTTCTTAGTGTGAAGTACTTCTTTGTAGGCCTTAGCGAGACGAGTAAGCCCCAACGTAATTTTTCACTTGGCTAAACAACTAATTAATATTAATATTTGCGCCAGCTGTCATCCGTCGCGCCGCGGCGGCTCATCGCGCCTATGCGCTGCTCCAGCGTCAATGCTCCGCCCGAAAAATAGCGCGCACCGTTTGCTTGCGTGAGCTGGTTGAGAGCGCGCTTTTCTATCATGGCCATTTGCTTGGTCAGCTAGAGGAGTACGAATTAGATGAGCTAAAAATACCTGAACATGAGCTGCTTATTGTGCAAAACCTTCACACAAGCTCCGGATCCAACTCAAATCGCTCTGTACTGCATTCCGGCGTTATTGGGCGGGGACTGCGACCTGTGCTGCCCATTAATAACAGAAGCTGCGATGCGGAAAAGCAAGCACTATATCTAAAGGCGCTTAATGCGTGCTGCATGGATATGGTAAAACATAACGTGGTCCCATACGTGCCAGCAGACCTAACACTATACGTTTTTTTCTAGGAAAAGCCCAACAATGTTGAGGGATACTCGCTGGTGTCATTAACGCTTGTGGAACTGGTGTCAACGGATGTTATGTACAATGGACTACCCTTTCCCGATGAGGAGTTTACTCGCGTCACTATGGAACGGGATATGCAAATACGTCGTGCCTTTATAACCTCGCCTGTTCTTTGGGCAGTGCTTGGTTTGATAGCTACTCACAGGCCCGCCTTGTGCTACTCTTCAGTGTTGCTGCGTGCGCTGTGCGCCACCTGTTTGCATCACTGGCGTGGCAAGAATGGTGAGAAATTGGACATTACCATTAAAGTATTTTGGTTAATATTGTTCGTTCTCTTTTAGTCAACAAATTCCAGCCGACATCCTCCAACGACGAGCTTATGCTGTGCACCAAGAAACTGCTACAATTGCTGGCCATGAGCCAGCTTATACCGCCACCTCTTTCCAACCTGCACACGATTATTGAGCACTTCGAAGCGCCGGAGGTAAGCTTCGAATATATAAACATGTCGTTTGTAAGGATTTGACTTATTTTGGGACTTTACAGATTGCTGTGCTGCTGCGGGAGTGCATTTGGAATTATTTAAAGGATCATGTACCCTCACCTGCACTCTTTCACGTGGACAACAATGGTCTGCATTGGCGCAACACGAGCCAGGTTAAAGTGCTGCCGCAGTATGTGGACACGCTGCGTCATCTGATGCAAAAGAAGCTTAGCAAACTGGGCCCGCACTATCATCAAATGTTCATCATGAGCGATCTACACATAAGTTCAACTGCCCAAGCAATAGCAGAGCCAACAGCAGTCATGCCCAAATCCAGCATTGAAGTCGTAGAATTGGAATAATAGAATTAGTTAGTCAACTGTTAAGTTTAAAGTTTGCAATGCCAATTAAGGTAAATTGAAATTTGTCAATAAAGGCAAAAACATATTCCATAAATAAGACCAAAAAACTTCGCACTATTTTCGAATTGCGAGTATTTACAAAGTTTAATCGAATCACTTCCACTGTATTACAAGTACTCCAATGCAGGAGTATAGAAATAATTAACTAAACTTTAGTACATAATTACACATGTCGGGAGATCCAAATGGAAAGGAAATATGTGTGAACTAAATGCAGTTTTTATATATATTTAAATATTCTTCAATAGTTTCAATTTGTATTACACTTATAAATTTTCCATTGCAAAATACTGTCCAGCAGTTTGTGTATGGTCGGCGCCTGTAAATTGCATTGATTTAGAAGTTATTAAAACCAACAACAGTTCAACAATTTACTTATTTGCGTTTTGCCGACGCGCAGTTTACTTTAACGAATCTTTGCTAATTGCAATTATTCAACGTGTTTGTTCTTTACATTTAATACATATCAACGACCTAAATAACTTTCTCATATAATACACGGTATTGTCACTTGGATCTTACTTGCATTCTGCTGCCTGCCTAACAGCTTTCTAAGCTAATTTAAGGTGTCGGCTCTTAGTGTGTGCCTCGATTACTCTCTCTCTCTCTCTCTTCCCCTCTCAATCTCGTTTTATCTTAATAAATACTTGGCGAATGTAAGACAACAAAAACAAAAACAAAAACCAAAAAGTTGCTCACAATTTGTTAACAAGTTATTACTTTTCCATATTACTCTAGTAACTAGGGGGGGGGTTTGGGTAGGGCCTACGATGTGCGACAATGGCTCAGCTTGCGCACTGAGATGCAGGATACAAGTTTTTTAGCTCGACGCTTCAAGCCAGAGCCCTTTTTCTTGACCGTGGTCACCTCCCTGGAGCCGTTGACCATAGCCTCAGCTTCAGCACTTGTGGATGGCTCGTACGAATGGCACGCCACGCTGGCAGCAGCGGTTCTGTTAGCGCGTATCTCGGCTGCGGCAGAAGCAGCGCGTCGCGCCAATTCCTCTGAAAAAAATAAAATAAAATAAAAACAATATAATGGTAATCAAGAGATTAGTTGGGGGTTGTAATATCATGAACATACGATTGACATCGTGCTCAGTGAAGTAAACATCTTCCTGATCCTGTTCGTTGCCATAATGATAAGCTTCTAGGTAAGGCAGTACTGTGGAACGTCCGTATTTGTCGCCCTTAAGTGGAGGAATGGGTATCGGTGGGCCAGTCACCGCTGGTGCGGACAGGAACCAACTGCAAGGATAAAAAAATGCCATTTATAAAACCAATTGTTGCATTTACATAATGGACCACTTACGCATCTTTGCGTATTTGTTGCAGAGAGAGCCGCGCAGTTGGATCTGCTTGCAGCATGCCCAATATCAATTTGGCAAAGCTTTCATCCAAATCATATAGCCAGTCGGGCGCAGTCCACTGACTCCGGCCAATGTTCTCCAGTAATCGGTAGATGTTGTCGCCCTCAAATGGATACAGACCCGTTGCCAGATTATAGCTGTAAATCAATAAATGTTGAAACGTTCCTAAGTACCAGCGAAGAGCTATTTACTTACAGGGTAACGCCGCTGCTCCATATGTCCACTTTAAAGCCTGCAAACGTTTCATGTCCATTGGCAATTTCTGGCGGTTGAAACGCAGGCGAGCCCTGACCCGTTGTGCAGGTGTCGTCTGGGGCAAACATGTCCAGCTGCTCGGCCACGCCAAAATCGGATATCTTGAGCGTTTGGTCAAGCGTCAGCAGTAGATTACCCGGCTTGATGTCCTTGTGTATCACCCGGCAGCTGTGTAAATACTCCAATCCATTCACCAGCTGTTGAAAATACCGATGCGCTTGATAGAGCGGCATCTTTTTTTCCGGCGCATGATCCAGCATCTCCTGCAAACCGCCAATGCAATACTCCATGACCAAGTACATCTTTTGTTTCTCCTCATTGTACATCACATCGACCAATTGGACAACATTCTGGTTTTTCAGCTGCTTCAGCAAATGAATTTCCCGTGTCACATTCTGCTCGCCATTGGGTATGCGGCGTAGCTTTCGCTTGGTGAGTATCTTAACGGCCAGCCGGCAAAGGTTCTCCGAATTCATGGCCTCCTTTACTTTGCCGTAGGAGCCCTCTCCTAGCACATCGCCCATCACATATTTGCCCACCATTTTGATGTTCTTCTTTTTCTGTTGATATATGATGTCCTGGCTGTCAACGCGATTAAAGAACATATTGCCTATATCCAGTGTGACACGATCCAGGGCATCGATTGCATCATCGTCCAGCCAGGTGACTTGCGGATGCTCCGCATGGTGGTTACCACCAACAGCCGCATCTAGCTCCACATCTTTGCTACCATTTAGCTCCACGAAAGCATCTTCTATATCGGATGTTGCGTCAAAATGGTAGTTTTGATTTGTTAACAGAACGGTCATCTCATCATCTGGCGCGCCAGCTAAATCAACATCCTTTCCAGCCACATCGACCGACTTGTCAGAGCCATGCTGCTGCTCACCGCCCCCGCCAGATTGCAAAATTGTTGCTTTAGCTTGTGCCTCCATTACATGTGTGCTGGTCACAGTAACAGTCATTTGGATGCGTTGCGCTCGCAGCTCAACACACGCTATTTGTGTACACTTATTATATGAACGTATAAACGGCGCTCTATTGCCGTTGCCGTCTCTTCGCGCTCTCCTTGTGTGCTCGTGGGCCAAACTAGAACATTGCATAAACCTTCGAACTGCCCACAACGCACAGTTCACATTTCTATGAGGGGTACGCTGTTCGAACCTTCGGTCCGCTGTGCACGAAGATTGTCGCAACGCTTACTAGCTTGTTGGTTCTGTCCAGTTTTTGCTCTATTGCTATAAAATTCAGTGTTTACTTTAAACTGGGAATATGTTGTATTTAGATGTATATGTGTATGTCAATTGTTGATATAATATCGATAATTGCGATATTTTTACTATCAATATATCAGTATTCCCACTTTTGATTAATGTGCGATGTGCGTCAAATTAGCGGCGGTGACTTAGCATCGATTCTTGGTACTTGGTATCGGAAAAGGAATCGATCACTTTTAAATGCATTTATTTATGTTTTTAAGCACAGAACCTAATAAATTTAAATGCAGAATTGCAACAAGTTAAATTATTTACTATCTACATTCACTTATTTTTGAATTTTAATTTATAATATGGGTAAACCAAGGGGTTAAAATATTAGGTTCTCACCATTCCATAAATATCTAAATTTAGGGATGATGGCCCCGAAAACCGCATATACACGATTAAAGCCTATAGTTTCACCTAGCCAACTGTGAAAATTTGATTAAAATCGTCGGTACCATTTTTAAAATATTTGGAAAAGAGTGCAGCAACCCCCAAGTCAGCCCCCTGTTATGCAAAAAAAAACTATCTGGCAACATTACATACTTAACTATTATTATTATTAATAAACTAATAAAGTTTAAAATATGGTTGCCATTTAACAGTATGATATCTAATATTGCCAGCATGTTTTTTTGCATTAACATAGGATGTAAAGAAAAAAAATGGAAAAATGCAATTTTTCCATAAACTGCGCTATTAAGTATGACTTAATACTTCTCATATAATTTGCTTTGACTTATTAATTTTATTAACTGTGAGTCCTTTCCATTTTTTTATATTTACATATAATTCAAATTGAATTGGTTCCCGCTCAGTTCTGCACAAAATTGTTCAACACTGATGCCAGGCAGTGATTCAGTTCACGTAGGAACTAGCAGCTCGATAGTCTTTTTAATGAACTATATGAGGTTTGTTTACAATTAACTAATTTTCTCAAAATCTGTACCATTTACTTAAAATTAGTGCCTATAGCTTCCTAAAATATGTATCTACAAGAGGGTATACCGTGCATTGAGGGCCATTGTCTCTGAGTTAAGAAATAAGGGCTCGAAAACAAGGTTGATTTTTTGCGGTCATTTTATATGGGGCTGACTTGGGGGTTGTTGCACTCTTTTCCAAATATCTTCAAAATGGTACCGACGATTTTAATCAAATTTTCACAGTTGGCTAGGTGAAACTATAGGCTTTAATCGTGTATATGCGGTTTTCGGGGCCATCATCCCTAAATTTAGATATTTATGGAATGGAGAGAACCTAATATTTTAACCCCTTGGTTTACCCATATTATAAATTAAAATTCAAAAATAAATGAATTTAGATAGTAAATAATTTAATTTATTGCAATTCTGCATTTAAATTTATTTGGTTTTGTGCTTAAAAACATAAATAAATGCATTTAAAAGTGATCGATTCCTTTTCCGATACCAAGTACCAAGAATCGACGCTAAGTCACCGCCTCTAATTTGACGCACATTGTATTGAACGTGCGTCAAATTAGCGGCGGTGACTTAGCGTCGAATTTTGGTACTTGTTATCGGAAAACTATCGGTCACTTTCAAATGCATTTATTTATGTTTTTAAGCACGAAACCAAATAAATTTAAATGCAGAATTGCAAAAAATTAAATTATTTACTATCTACATTCATTTATTTTTGAATTTTAATTTATAATATGGGTAAACAAAGGGGTTGAAAAGTTAGGTTTTCGCCATTCTTTAAATATCTTAATTCAGGGATAATGGCCCCGAAAACCGCATACACACGATTGAAGTCTATAGTTTCACCTATCCAATCGTGAAAAAATTATAAAAACCGATCAGCACGTTTTTAAGATATTTGTACTACAGTGCAGCAACCTCGTTGCTAGCCCCATACAAAATGACCGTAAAAAATCACCCTTGCACTTGAACCCTAATAACTTTTCTCAGGGATAATGGCCCTCAATGCACGGTATACCAACTTGAAGATACATGTTTAAGGAAGCTTTACGCATTAATTCTAAGCAAATCGATCAGCCAGTTTTTTAGAAAAATGGCAAAATGTAAGCACACCTCATGTTGTTCATTCAAAATGCCTATCGAGCTACTAGCTCCAACGGGAACCGAACCACTGCTCGGAATCAGTGTTGAACAATGTTATAAAGTATTGGGCGGGAACAAATTAATTCAAAATACTTGTATATGAAAGAGAAATGCAGTAATATATAAAATAATTGTCATTTTACAATAAAACATTATCTTTGGTAAAATAGACTGCTGCAAAAGACGACACCTATGCATTTAAGTATTTATGCACGTATAATAACGAAAAGGTGGCAATCTTTCAACCTATATTATTCTATTTCTCCGATAATGGCCCCAAATGCACGGTAGTTTAACATATAGATCGCGAATTATCAATCATTTTGCTTTTTACATCAAGAAAATCGTCCAGCCAGTTTTAGAGAAATTCGCATTTTTCTATTTTTCTTATTATACCCTCTGTTATGCAAAAAAAACTAGCTGGCAACATTACATACTTAACATATTCATTTATCAAAATGGCGACAATATTTCGACCTTTATTATTCTATTTCTCCGATAATGGCCCCAAATGCACGGTAGTTTAACATATAGATCGCGAATTATCAATCATTTTGCTTTTTACATCAAGAAAATCGTCCAGCCAGTTTTAGAGAAATTCGCATTTTACTATTTTTCTTATTATACCCTCTGTTATGCAAAAAAAACTAGCTGGCAACATTACATACTTAACATATTCATTTATCAAAATGGCGACAATATTTCGACCTTTATTATTCTATTTCTCCGATAATGGCCCCAAATGCACGGTAGTTTAACATATAGATCGCGAATTATCAATCATTTTGCTTTTTACATCAAGAAAATCGTCCAGCCAGTTTTAGAGAAAATCGCATTTTTCTATTTTTCTTATTATACCCTCTGTTATGCAAAAAAAACTAGCTGGCAACATTACATACTTAACATATTCATTTATCAAAATGGCGACAATATTTCGACCTTTATTATTCTATTTCTCCGATAATGGCCCCAAATGCACGGTAGTTTAACATATAGATCGCGAATTATCAATCATTTTGCTTTTTACATCAAGAAAATCGTCCAGCCAGTTTTAGAGAAATTCGCATTTTACTATTTTTCTTATTATACCCTCTGTTATGCAAAAAAAACTAGCTGGCAACATTACATACTTAACATATTCATTTATCAAAATGGCGACAATATTTCGACCTTTATTATTCTATTTCTCCGATAATGGCCCCAAATGCACGGTAGTTTAACATATAGATCGCGAATTATCAATCATTTTGCTTTTTACATCAAGAAAATCGTCCAGCCAGTTTTAGAGAAAATCGCATTTTTCTATTTTTCTTATTATACCCTCTGTTATGCAAAAAAAACTAGCTGGCAACATTACATACTTAACATATTCATTTATCAAAATGGCGACAATATTTCGACCTTTATTATTCTATTTCTCCGATAATGGCCCCAAATGCACGGTAGTTTAACATATAGATCGCGAATTATCAATCATTTTGCTTTTTACATCAAGAAAATCGTCCAGCCAGTTTTAGAGAAATTCGCATTTTACTATTTTTCTTATTATACCCTCTGTTATGCAAAAAAAACTAGCTGGCAACATTACATACTTAACATATTCATTTATCAAAATGGCGACGATATTTCGACCTTTATTATTCTATTTCTCCGATAATGGCCCCAAATGCACGGTAGTTTAACATATAGATCGCGAATTATCAATCATTTTGCTTTTTACATCAAGAAAATCGTCCAGCCAGTTTTAGAGAAATTCGCATTTTACTATTTTTCTTATTATACCCTCTGTTATGCAAAAAAAACTAGCTGGCAACATTACATACTTAACATATTCATTTATCAAAATGGCGACGATATTTCGACCTTTATTATTCTATTTCTCCGATAATGGCCCCAAATGCACGGTAGTTTAACATATAGATCGCGAATTATCAATCATTTTGCTTTTTACATCAAGAAAATCGTCCAGCCAGTTTTAGAGAAAATCGCATTTTTCTATTTTTCTTATTATACCCTCTGTTATGCAAAAAAAACTAGCTGGCAACATTACATACTTAACATATTCATTTATCAAAATGGCGACGATATTTCGACCTTTATTATTCTATTTCTCCGATAATGGCCCCAAATGCACGGTAGTTTAACATATAGATCGCGAATTATCAATCATTTTGCTTTTTACATCAAGAAAATCGTCCAGCCAGTTTTAGAGAAATTCGCATTTTTCTATTTTTCTTATTATACCCTCTGTTATGCAAAAAAAACTAGCTGGCAACATTACATACTTAACATATTCATTTATCAAAATGGCGACGATATTTCGACCTTTATTATTCTATTTCTCCGATAATGGCCCCAAATGCACGGTAGTTTAACATATAGATCGCGAATTATCAATCATTTTGCTTTTTACATCAAGAAAATCGTCCAGCCAGTTTTAGAGAAATTCGCATTTTTCTATTTTTCTTATTATACCCTCTGTTATGCAAAAAAAACTAGCTGGCAACATTACATACTTAACATATTCATTTATCAAAATGGCGACGATATTTCGACCTTTATTATTCTATTTCTCCGATAATGGCCCCAAATGCACGGTAGTTTAACATATAGATCGCGAATTATCAATCATTTTGCTTTTTACATCAAGAAAATCGTCCAGCCAGTTTTAGAGAAATTCGCATTTTACTATTTTTCTTATTATACCCTCTGTTATGCAAAAAAAACTAGCTGGCAACATTACATACTTAACATATTCATTTATCAAAATGGCGACAATATTTCGACCTTTATTATTCTATTTCTCCGATAATGGCCCCAAATGCACGGTAGTTTAACATATAGATCGCGAATTATCAATCATTTTGCTTTTTACATCAAGAAAATCGTCCAGCCAGTTTTAGAGAAATTCGCATTTTTCTATTTTTCTTATTATACCCTCTGT